AATTCTACTAAGAAACTATCTATAGCTAAAATAACTTAAATAAATCAGGTGACTTTTCTTGGCATGATCAGATAATTGTGATATAATAAGTTACATATAGCGCAGTATGTAGTGCAGCAATAATCTGTAAGATAAAAAATAAATATAATATAATTATCAATAACTAATCTAATTTTATTACATTAAATATCTTTGAAATTACATAATTTTTATAAATAAATTAAAAAAATTAATTAATAATAATATTTTTTTATGTAAATTCTTTTGTTAATAATTATAAATAAGATAAAATATAATATGAATAGTTTTAATTTTTAAAACTTATAATTTTTATTTTTGAATAGTATTTAAATCTGAAATTATTTTACAGAATAAAAAGAATATATTTATAGTAAAAGAAATAAATATAAATTACAAATAAATTAATAATGATTTTTATAATTAAAATATAAATAGTTTAATAAAATTAATTAACTTAATAAATAATAATAATTGTAAATATAATAAATAATAATATAAATAATAATAAAAAATAAATAAAAATATAAAAAAATTATAATTAAAAATATAATTAAAAATATTAATAGTTTAAATTAGTAATAAGAATATATATAATAATCATTTACATAATAATATGTTAAATCTAATTATTTAAATATACAGATAATTATTTATATATCTAATATGAAAATAATCTTCAAAAAAGTAATACAAAAACTAATCTATTATATAGATTAAAGATGGCTCCTCAACTAATTGCGGCTTGCGGCAGCCAATCAGAGAATTGCGACAGAGTTGCGGCAGCCAATCAGAGAATTGTGACAGAGTTGCGGCTAGTTGCAGCTCCCATCTCTAATATAGATAGTACAAAATAAAGATTTGAGATTAAAGAAGATACTTCAATTAAAATTATTATATTTTATTTATTTATATAAATTTTTTATTTAAATATTAATTTTATTTTTTAATATTAAAAGCTTTTAATATAAATAAATTAAAAGCAGATATTATATTAATTATAGATAAAAGTCAGATTTTATTGAGTTATTTTTATCAGATTTTCTAGAAAAAAATATTAAAGATAAATAAATATTAATAGTAAGAAAAATTTCAAGAAATTCAAGAATTTAAAAAATTTAAGAAATTCAAGAAACTCAAGAAATTTAAAAAAATAAAAAAATAATTTGATAAAATTAAAGAATTTAAAGAAATTATAGATTTTATTTTGAATAAAAATCTTGATAGTAATAATAATAATAATAATAATAATAATAATAATAATAATAATAAAATTTCAGATTTAAGTATTTTAGAAGTAAATTTTGATTAATTTTTAAGTATATAAGTAGAGATATTAATGAAAAAGACTGAGAAAATTATAAATATAAAAGATGAAAATAATGAAGCATTTTCTTTAAAAATTAGAAATATTATTTATCTAGTTAATTTTATGTTAAGTAAAATTTAATAAACTTTTTAATAATTATTATTATCTTAATTTTATAAAATAAAATTAGATTAATATTGATAATATAAAAGTAAAAAAATTATGTATTTAAAATATCTTGAATATTATAAATAAGAAAGTATTAATTTTATTTAATAATCAGATAATTTATTTTATATAAATAAATAATTATATTTTCAAAGTAATATAATTATATATCTATATATTTATCAAATTTTTAGATACAAATATAGATTATTCAGTCCAGTTTAATTCAATATCTAATCTGATTTAAGTAATAATATTACTTATATAACAGATTCAACTTTATATATATATATTTAAAAAATTATAAATTTAATTTATATATGATTATCAAATCTTATTAGTAATTTATGTTATAAAAATAAAAAAATAAATATAAATAATTAAATAAATAAAATTTATAAAATTACTTATTATCATCTAGTATATATATTCATTAATTAAAATATTCAATTGGATTTAAATCAGAAGATTGTCATTCTATTATATTAAGTCAATTATTATCAAATTATTTTATAATTTTAATAGTCCTATATTTTGGATCATTATCTTGTATAAGAATAATATGATCTGATATAAAAAGATTGTACATTAAATAAATATTAATATATTATTTTTTAAATAAAATTTTAATTCTGTCTTATTTAATTAAGTTATTAGATATTAGAATTTATTTAAATATAAAAATTTTTATTATATACCTTTTATAAAAAAAATTTTACTGATATAACCTTTTTGAATTATTATTTCTTAAATTTTATTATATAAAATTTGATTAAAATTAATATAAAAATTATATAGTAATATCTTTATAACTACTGATTCAATTTTTATGAAATTTAAAATATATATTTATCAAATCTAAAGCAATTTGCTTGCATAGCTTAAAATTCTAATCTTGCAAATTGATAGCAATAATATTTAAAATATCTTTTTTTTTAAAAAAAATAATTTATTTTAGTTTTTTTTAGTAAAGTAATGCTTTATTTATTATTATAATAGAATAATTAAAATAGTAAAAAAAGTTAATTTAGATCATTCTTTATTTAATATAAAAAAATTATAAAGATTGGTTAAAATTTGAATAATATTTATATTGATATACCAATCTTTTTGCACCGGTCCATATTATTTTAATCAACTTGTTATACTTGATGATCTTTTAATAATCATCAATCAATATTTCATAATACTATTCTTGATTCATGATATTATAGATACATATATTTAACTAGTAATTATTTATATTCATTTCTTGATGAAGATTAATATATATTAATATAATCAAAGTTAATTCACTCGATTCACTTCATAAAATAGACTATTAAAGTAATTAGTATATTTTTCTATTATTTTTTGCTATGATATTTCCAGCTCATCATAGTATTAATTTTATTTTGTAATAATATTACTAATAATAATTGTCCATTATCAATTTGATACAATTACAATAAGGTTGACATATCAAATTTTTGTACAAAGTCTTATAATACAGATTATTAATATGACAAAAAGTCTAGAGAAATCAATCAAATTGGAATAATTCAACAGTTATCCCAACAAACAAGATATTATGAATAACATCCAGATTCTCTAAATATACTGTAGTTCGTACGTAATATAAATCTGTAAAGCGTAGGAATGTTTTTTACACAATATTATTTCGATACTTTATTTTCAGATTAATGAATGATAAATTTCGAGCTGGATATTCCATAGTCTATTTGATCACAAAATTGCGTGAAGGTTTAGTTTTATGTTTTATAAATACAATAATAACGATAAGAATTAATAGAACAACGTATCCACTACATATTCCACTAATGATGATAATTGCTCTGATATTTGTATGTTCCTCTTTTTTTGAGGTTGATGCAATATTATTATTGCTTTGATTTGTTGGAGCTGAAATTGGTTCGTCAATAGAATTTAGCCATTGATATTCATCATTTTCAGCATCAACTTTTAGAACTGAAATTGGCGAAGGATCCTCAACCGATTGTTTATTTATATTTCCTAAAATAAGAAATCTTATGAATTTGAACCATCTATACAAACAGTTTTAAAGATAGAAAATATACCGAATGCAACGATCATATATGTATTATTAACAAGTGTGGCCGAATGATAGAAAGGTATCGCTTGATCAGTTTGGTATGCAATATTTGGTGTATTCCAAATGTATGTGCCAGTATCGTTATTTACCTCCAAAATTGCCAAAATATTACTGGCATTGAGCGGAGGATCGCTATGTCCGCCATAAATGAGAATCTTATTATTTGCTACTATAAAATTATACCGCATTTAATAAGGTTCAAAAGTCGAATTTTCAGTAATAAAATATAATTTACCTAAGCAAGCTGAATGTCCAGCACGACTTGGTAAATAATTTTTCATTTGAGCGGTCTTAAGAAATGAAATATAATTAATAATAAATTCTTAAAAAAAGATCAATTAAAATATTTACTTTTTTTGTCCATTGATTGGTCAAAGTAGAGTAAATCAGGATCTAAATAAAAAATTTTTCAATATTATTAGAAAAAAATCACGGTTTTTTTAATATACCCAACCTGATCCATTGGTAGAATTTCATCGATGTTGATTTGATAATTTCCGCACAGTCCACCCAAATAAATAATTTGCCGTAGATTTTCTAAATAAGTTGCTGTGTAATAAACTTTTGGAAAACACGTTGTTGTATCGATCGGAAAAAACCGCCAATTACTTTTGTATATATTCCAAACATACATTGTGTCATAACCGTTAAATAAATATATTTTTCCAGTAGAGGAGTCAATTATCGAAGTTAATCCATCTAGGCCGTAAGGAGCATTAGCTCTGCTCGAATCAGTTTCACTTTTCCAAAAAAGTGGGCTACTTGATAAATTCATCGAAAATAATTTCACAGTATTATTCTATAATAAAAACCTTCGAATTTAGTCAAAAAGTTTATAGGAAAAATAAAATAAAACCATATTTTACCACCTGACTACCAAACGAATAAATTACTGAATTAAAGATTACAGAAGTAGCAAACGTAATATCATAGGAACTAATGTTTAGTTTATCAACGTCTAGCTCATCGAATTTTGGAGCATTGATATTGAAGTTGTTTGACACATCAAGTGTAAAAAATTCATTTGAACCAGAATTATTATAAAAGTAAAGTTTATAATTATAATAAATTGCCGCTTGCCCAGAACGACCAGATGGTATAAATTTAATTGCAGTAATTGTATTTATAAACATTAAAACTAGCGCTAACAAGAGGATCATATTAATTTTACGGCGATTATCAACAAAAAAAAGTTGCATGCACTCGTCCATGTGTTGTCGTTTTCAAGTGGTGATCGGCATTTGATTTGCAGTCATGTACAGTCAACTCTCCCTAAAATGCAATCTTATTGGGACCACTTGCATTTAGAGAGAGAGTAATTTAAAAAAATTGCATTATGAAGAGATGATTTTGACCAAACTAAAACTTGCATTTAAAGAGGTTGCATTTAGGAGTTCACTGTACACGTGTCTGTAAAGCTCAGTCATTCAGAGATTTAACATGAAATGGATTTTTCAATGTATAGAAAATACCTATTAGATTAAGGGGAAAATGCTTTAATTATAGCCGTTGCTTCGGGACGTGATATCCAGTTTCGAGCCGGACAAATCAAAAGGTTGGGTTTTTTTTTTTTAGCTCAAAAGCTGGTAACATGATAAATCAATTAACATTAGTACGATAAGTTTAAATGACCATTACCGTAACTTTTATCTTTGCTAAAAAGTGCTATGTACGTGATTTATAATCGTAGCGAATCACTTTATATTCTATATACGAGATAATCATTTATTCCTATTGACAATAACGATAGCAATATAAAAATCATTCATTACATCTACATACGGTACATGTAAAAAGCTTCTTTAATGCATCGAATATATGAACTGTACACGTTCACATAATTTTTGTCACACAAGTAATAGAATCTATTGGTGAAATCCGAATGTAATACTAATCATTCGATTCATCGAATTCGTCAAGTTACTTGTTGATGAATATCATGCACAGAATTTTGATGTGTTAGTATTGGAAACGGGAGTTTCTTCAATATTCTTGAGAGCCTTGGTCAAGAAAATATCAATTATTGATATTGTTCTAACGTGACAAATATTCTAAATAATTTTTATTGAAATGGTAAAATTATCACAATATGATCACGTGGAAAACATCACACACAATTCATGTTAACGATATTATATATACTATTACTATGTGGGCAAATGATAAAAACACTGCAAAAATATGATAAACTGAAATTGATTTTCTCTATTTACATTTCATTATTTAACGCATATATGTTTAATAAACTCTACCATTAAAAAAATTTGATTATAAAACTGTGCTTTGCATTCGACAAGACTTCTTCACTCACAGTTAAACATGCCTTGTTATCACCTTCTTCGTTATTATTTTCTTAATCCTAAAGTACATTTTCTTTTTTGTCATGCTATTAAAATTTTCCCCTCTCGTAATTATCCGCAATCAATCAGTAAACAGATTTCAGATAATCCCTATAATGATATGATGAAACGTCTCTCAGGTGCTATTTTCTTATCTCGTCAAAAATATTTTAGAAGCTACTTTACTTCAAGGTCAAATTCGAGATCAACTTAACTTTGAGCATAAACAAAGAGATACTAGATATTCTTCTCAAGGTTCAAGACCAACAAAAACATGATATCCTCAAGGTTCAAGATTGACACAAACAAAATATCCTTGAGATTCAAGACCGACACAAACAAGAAATTATCTTAAACGAAAGAAAATTGCAGTCCTTGCAAAAGGAGAACAAGATTATATTTCTCTTTATCTGAAAATCCGTGGAAATTTCAATATGTGGAGTTTTAGAATGAATATGAGAGCATTTCGCACGATCCGACCAAGAATCTTTCTCCTAACACAAAAAAAAAACTAGAAACGTTAAAGATACACTTACAATCAAGCTCCCTTCTAGTGATAACCCAAGCATGATCTACCTCATTGTCAAAAAACAAGATAATGGCAGCATTGAGAATGAGTTTTCGTCCGAGAATGATGTCATAAGTACGAACTATGTTGTGTCAACAATCCTATTAACGGATCCTTTGTGTTTATCCGAGAATTCAGCTGGAATCCATAATAATGAAACTTTTTAATCCTCTTCAATGAAAGACAAAAGATTAGCACGTCCCATTACCCAACATGCGAAAATTTAATTTTGCTGAAATAGGCTTGAGTTCAAGAACTTCTTTCAGAATACTAGTATTTATAATATTTACCTACTCTTGAATTGACCGCTACAGTGTGTACAGTCTGTAACCATGATAAACAAAATCCTGGTTACTCAACCTCTCGAATTCAAATCCCGAAAACCAATATCCCGAAATGCTAAAATTGTACGTATGTGAAAATAAGGT